TAGGCCACCTGTGGCCTAAATAAGGTAAAGGAGGGGGGTTTAGCTTATTTAGGCCATATGTGGCCTAAATAAGGTCACCCTTCAAAATTTCTTTTTTCAGTGATCTTCGCCATTTTATTTGCTCTTCATGCTTATATTTGAAAATTAAAGCAATAAGAAAACTTAAATAATTTTGTATGTTCAAATTCTAAAAAATGTGTCACCATAGTTATGTTCAAAAGAATTTGACTTGGTGTTATGTAACGCCAGTTACACAGCTCAGCATGCCATCTGTATGTCTGTAAACACATGTTTTTGTAGGAGGAGATATACATGAATAGAAAAATTCAAGTAAAAACGAAATCTTAAAAACTGTATCAGCAACCCTCGGTGCTACATTTTAGGTACCCACTTATTGGCAAAAGCTCATATATATATATATATTCCATCTTTCTCTCTCTCTCTCTATCTCTCTCTCTCTCTCTCTCCCTCTCTCTCTCTCTCTCTCTCTCTCTCTCTCTCTCTCTCTCTCTCTCTCTTTCTCTCTCTCTCTCTCTCTTTCTTTTTCATCTGTAAAGTTTTTATTTATGTTACTCTGTTTACATCCGCGAGGATGTGGGGCGAGGGAAGTGGTACACTATTGGTATTGCTATGGTATGTGATTATGGAATTTTGAGATTCTGGAAGACTTTTTATCGGCTTTTAGTTTATGGTATTCGAAAAAAAAACCTTTTAATGAAAACAAAAACAGAGTCGAACATTTTGACAAATGAAAGGCAGAATTCTGCTTGAAATTATTGTTTATTTGACTTGTGGAATTTTAAGAAATCTGGAAAGGCTCACACCAGGACTGACTGACGGGCGTTCGTGGTGTAGCGGTTAGGCACTTCGCTGTTATACGGCGGAGACCTGAGTTCGATTCCAAAGTGGGAAGTACATTTTTATAGAGTATCTTGGTCTTTCTGCTGGATTGTCATATCCCTCTCAGCCTGGGTTGGCTCTGACAGATGGGGTCGGAAGCCCGCCTCCTAGATGAGCTAAATTGTGTCGATGAAAGTGTAGAAACACCTACATTTAGCACCAGGACAGGAAAAGTAGTCTCTAAACATATAGCACTTCCGCAACACAGGTGGGTGCTCTTGTGTGGTCTGCTCCTTCTTTCCTATCAAATGCCTATCGTTTTTATCTCTCCTCTTTCGTTTGTGTGTATTTTACTCTCTTGTAGCACTTCTGATCTTCGGCACTTATACAGTTGACTATGCTGCCGTCGTAAGGGAAAACGACGAATGGTCCTGCGCAGGTAGCGAGGCAAATTTTTCAGGAGAGGCAAAAACAGTTTTCACTTTATAACTTTTCTATTTTTCACTCTTTTAAGCTGTAATTCACCAGATATCTGATTGAGGTATTCATAAAGCAGTTTCTAAAGTTTGAATGGTTTAGGTTAAAAAGTAGCAAAGTTATTCGACATTCGTCGTTCTCCCTTACACTGCGCACCCGCAGGTGAGCCTTGCAATGTAAGCGAAAATGACGAATTGTACGGTTCATCGTTCTCCTTTACAATCGTGAACGTTTATGGGCATAGGCGATGGTCAGTTGTGACGCATTATTGACAGTAATGACTGTGTACTGGTTACTACAAATAAAAATAAGACGTATACAAACTAGCTATTATACGTATAAAGTTAGGTGTTTGTTATATCCCAACTGTAAACGTCCTTCTTTTCCCTTCTTTGCTTGGCTAAATACTACACAGTCAGTGTACAAATCAGATGTGTACACATTTTCAACAGCTTGATTTAAAACTGTCTCATTCGGAACCAAAGTTTGGTATTCATGATATCGCTTTATAGTATTCTCTTCAGAAGCGAGTTTTAACGACCAAAGGGATCAACAATGTTACAATGTCAACAATACGATCAGATCATTGCAAAGTCAAACTTTCACGTAAGAAATGTAACAATCTGACAAGACTGTTTCACAAACGCTTTCTGGAGAGGTAATGCGACGCTTTGTATTTAATAAAGGATTCAGTTGATCGGATCGGAAAACATACCCCAAAGTAGAGATCGACAAGGACAGTTTGAATCTGCAAGACATTATTATACTCGATCGTAACGTCCATCAAGTCTTTAAAAAAATCGTAAAGCAAAACTAAGTGTCGCCACAATACGTCCACTTTTTAAGTTGGACAAAGAAATTTACTGTCATAACGCAGTGTCATTAATTGCTTGGTAATTCTATAAAGATGTCGACCAGTGACATGTGCTAGACAAATTGCGGCACTATAACCATCGTTGGGATTTGGGATGTCAAATGACTGGACAGCAAAGTAACATATCTGTGAACATCTGGCGGACACTAATATGCAGCGCTAATAAATTTCTTCCTAAATACTTTTTTTTAACCCTCCCATCCCCACCCCTTTCCCCCTGTTCCCATCCGTCTTCCCCTCTCTCCCGCCTGCTCTTGTCAATTCACACATCAGCATAGGCCTAATACGTGAAGACAGACAAAAAGACACACTAAGTTATACATTCTTATAGACCTGGTCGACGGTACACCGGGGGAGGGGGTGGTGGTGCGTTTGTTTGCAAAAAACCTAGTATGTTTGTACTGACGCAACAGTGACCAATTGTCATTCGTCGCCCATGCTGAATTTGCCCAACGGCAGAGACCAGGGGACAACGCCGAACGAGCAGTGATCCTTGACCGATCGACCATTCGTCGTTCTCCCTTACACTGAGCTCTGGCTTGGAGCTCGCCAGTGTACGGGAAAACGACGAACTCTCAATTACGCAACAACGGATTGGGATATGACAAAAAATTTTACACCATCAGTTGCAGAATTAAATACTCTATGAAATATATAAAAATATAAAAATCGAAAAAATTTGACCATTCGTCGTTTTCCCTTACGACGGCAGTATGGTTGACTTGATGTTGTTGGGGAAGTGGAAAAAAAAAATCTGCTCATCCGAAGTTCAACTCAACTGCTGGGATCTGTAAAGAAAATGAGGTGCTACGATCTAAGGAAAAGATCAACTTAATTGAAGATCAACTTAAGTGAGTTCAAGACAGAGTTGACAGTATGACCTAATTGCTGTGTTGCAAGTGCTGTAAAACGCCTACTAAAACTACACTTTGATCCAGGGAGGCCATGGGCCTAAGTAAGTAATTTAGTAATGGAGGATGTTCCTGATTGGTCCTACTTTGTCCCTATCCCTCTGTTGTTTCTGTCTGCCTCTCATGCTTTATCCCTGCTTTTAATGCCATTAAAATCATGTGAATGTGTTTTATCTTTTTCTCAAATGAATGAATTGTCTCTGTATTTGTTTTTTTTACAGTGAAGCTCAGAACCAGCCCGCTCGAGGACACAACCTGCAGACTTTTGGTGTTGCTTTAAGATAAGATAATGATAAGATAATTATAAGATAAGGATAAAGGGATAAGATAAGATAAATTTTTACTGTCCAGATGCTGTCTCATTGGTTTGTTGTTTCACCACACACACTCAAACGCAGCACACAGACACACACACACACACACGCACACACACACACACACACCCGCAGCACACAGACACATACCCACACACACA